TTCCCGATTTAACGTTCCCTTCGGGGGAGTGCATCAAAATGGTTGGTACTCACCGCGCACGGCGTGTGTGGAGCCGTGTGCCTCCCCTACATTTTTTTAAAAATAAATGAGGAAGCCCTTGTATCGGGTGTTTTGTATAAATATATTGTGAGCCTTTTCCAAGCGGGAAGGGTTAATTAAAAATAAATTAATAATGTAAACCTGATACAAGTGGAATAGGGACGATTTATGTTTATAACATTTCTCGAGCCCTGTCTTCGTGAACGGGGTTCACTTAGCTTACCACTACCAACAGCTTTCAATTACTCTAGTGAATATTCATTCTTCCAAAAGACACCTAAAAGAACTAAGCTACTAAACAAACACAACGTAAATAAGGGTCCTAACTAAGACGATCACGCCAAATTATTACAAACGGCCTATTAATAAATCTTTTGAAAGATCATTTAAAAAGATGAAAACATATCTTATTTATCCTGGTCGCATATATATAATTTTTGTCGAAAAGGGTAAATTTATTATATCTAATATATTTATTATTATGAGAGGGGGTAAGCGTTACAATATCAATAATTATATCAAAATTGGACAAAATCGGACATATAAAAAATATATCACTGAAATACGTACAAAAGGCAGGCCAAAAGAAAAATGGGTCGAAAAATGAGGTGTTGACTACTGCGTGGATTAATATTTTAAAGCGCACTGATATACTAAAAATAAAAGTTTTTTGTATATCCATGTCAAAACGGTAACTAATTTTGTTTGAGCGTAATTATTGAGGAATCAAGGGTTATTAAATTATATTAATTTTACTAATCGTAAACAATAGGCATGTAGTCTTTATAAAATTTTAAGTGTCAACTTATGATTCTTATTACGAAGTTAACGTCATCGTTAGTAAATGTTTGAAAATCTATAAAATTAAAATGTCGCTTCGATAACATAAATAATTTTAATTCGTGACGATAATAGCTATAAGTATAAAGCAAACATTTAAAAAGACCACTTTAAAATATTACAAATCAAAAAGTGGGTATGGTAACAGCCAACAATATATTTTCTTATAGGAGAGGGGGCAAACGAGCATACGGCTCATATGATGTTAAGTGACTACCGCCGCCCATGAACAATTGCAACTCCAGGGGTATTGCAATTGCGTTGCTGGCCTTTTTTTTTTGAAAGCTATTTATATCTTAATTTTGAAAACATTAAGAGCTCGCAGCGTACTCCCACTTGTTTATGTGGCCTCATGTCTTGGAAATGTCTTTTAATTTTCCAGATATTTAGTCATTGTTAAAAGCACGCTGCCGGTCATCTCCTGATTCGTTTACCTCTGTCGCCTCTAACGACACTCACGGGATGATACGGAGTTTAATTGATGCATGTGTAGTGTGTCGGAAATGAAATAAGTCCTTGTAAGAGATAGCGTTTAATTACATTTTATTACGCGTGTAACAACAGTGCCGGCCCGATCGTCACTGACTCACAATTACGATATTATTCTCTCACCATCGGGCATATCATAGTAAAGTTATCTTTTGAAATCGCATGGTATTGGGCGTATTAAGGTTACAACATTATATACTTTGATAGATCAATATATTTTATGAACGCGGATTTACCGCGTTGCGCAGCGTAATTGAAAATCTTTACTTATTGTCGAGATAAATTTTGTTATATTCATAATGTTAATTATGAATGTCGTTTTTTTATAAAATGGGAGTGACAAATGAGCACACAGTCCACTAGATGGTTAGTGGATGCTGTAACACTTCGACATCTATATTTATCTTTGAAGAATCAAAATGGAGATGCGTTGTTGAAAGGTGTAAAATGTGTTTCTGGTTCTCTAAACAAAATTAAAAACTGCGCTTACCAACCCGCTTACTAAGCGTGGCTAATATTATTTTTAGTCATTGTTAAAAGCACGCTGCCGGTCATCTCCTGATTCGTTTACCTCTGTCGCCTCTAACGACACTCACGGGATGATAGGGGGTTTAATTGATGCATGTGTAGTGTGTCGGAAATGAAATAAGTCCTTGTAAGAGATATTACGCGTGTAACAACAGTGCCGGCCCGATCGTAACTGACTCACAATTCAGTTACATAGATATAATAAATACATACATTACGTACATATAATAATTATGTACGATATCAAATACATATTATATTTTATATATATATATATATATATATATATATATATATATATATATATATATATATATATGGCGAGGATTAATAAAATATGTTTTGATATTTCTAAATGATCTTTTAAAAGGTTTAATAATAGGCCGTTTGTAATATTTTTGGCGTGATCATCTTAGTTAGGACCCTTATTTACGTTGTGTTTGTTTAGTAACTTAGTTCTTTAAAGTGTCTTTTGGAAGAATGAATATTCACTAGAGCAATTGAAAGCTGTTGGTAGTGCCTTAAAAGCTAAGTGCCGTTCACGAAGACAGGGCTCGAGAAAGGTTAAAAACATAAATCGTCCCTATTCCACTTGTATCAGGTTTACATTATTAATTATTATTTATCCCTTCCCGCTTAGAAAAGGCTCACAATATATTTATACAAAATACCCGATACAAGGGCATCGCTCTCCTACATTTATTAAAAAAATGTACATGGCTCCACACACGCCGTGCGCGGTGAGCGCCAACTATTTTAATGCACTCCCCTCGAATGGAACGTTAATTCGGGAACTGGACCGTAGTCCACAGCAAAATAACTGGCGAACCAGTAAAAGAGGCTTAGCCCCTTGTTAGTGCGTAAGCACAAACATCGAACGAAGTCGCGCATGTCAATGCGTGTAAACGCCATACATAATACGAACGAATCCAGCCACAGAGAATGTAAGTCACACGGTTTAGGCAAATAGGCACACTGGCCGTAAACCTCCCGTGAGCGCCACACCATGCCAGACCGCCACTCCTGCAGACGTAAAGTAAGTGTATGGCATCGCCATCAATTGCATGATCAGCACGGCTACCAGCCGCAGAGCGTGTTATGAGTCTACCGCTCACCTAAAGGAAAGAAGGAGGAAAATGGGGTCCCACGTTGTGGGGCTTTCGGCCGCAGCCTTAAGAGTCTCCTCAGATCCCGCCAGCTACCACCCGCATGAGGTGGACACATATGCTCCACCAACTAATACAACGGCAGATATAGCCAAAAGGCAGTTTAAGTGTTAGTAATAATTTGCATCAGAAAGGTTGTGTCTGCGTGATGAATTTTCGATCATGTTTGTCTCACCCACCAACAAGTTGCCTTCAATCATTCAAAGGTGGGAAAGTTACAGAGATAAATTATTATAGCTTAAGAAAGCTGTATTGCTACAACAAACCCGCTTACCAACGGCATTAAGATGATATGTCTAGGACACATCGGTTAGCGAGCCCAAGTTTACCTCGGACCAATTGATCATGAAGCAGCATACACACCACCATAATAATCCTTTTTCAATTATTATGGTTGGGGTATCTATATAATTTTCTCACCTGGTTGGGTTCTATAAATATATAATTATAAATTAAAATGAAAAGATAAATATACATAAATATCAATAAAATAAAATAAATACAAAAACTACATAAATAAATAAGATCCAAGCAGATGGGAGCCCCCGGCAAAGGAGACCAGACGGCCGAGGGTTAGGGGGAATAGTCCTGTCTGTGATGATGGCCTGGTCCCAGTAGAGCCTAGCGCGGTCATTTTCGAGCAGGGCTTCCGGTAAGTACTTGTAATACGGCAATTTCCGATCCACGAGACCGCATTTCAGAGTTAGCTCCTGGTGTAGAATTCTGGCTACTTGGTTGTGCCTGTGCAAATACTCAGAGTTAGAAAGCGCCGAATAACCGGAGATGACATGCCTAAGTGACTCACCGGGATGGCGACAAGCTCGACAGACGTCGACGGTGCCATCCCTTAGGATGTATCTCCGATAGTTGTTGGTCTTAATAACCTGATCCTGTATTGCACAAACAAAACCCTCGGTTTCCCCAAAAAGTTTACTGAAACGTAGCCAGTTGAGGGAGGCGACTGTATCTACGAAGAGCTCATGTAGAACCCTGTAGTATCTCCCGTGGAGCTCCTTCTCCTTCCATACGTTCTCCCAGTCGGAAATGCTTTGTACTGCCGGGTCTTGCCATTGCTCGTTGGCTAAGAATAGAGGGGTAAGTCCTTTATCACTATAAATGACGTTATTATAGAATGGATCATCCGATCTCACCAGGAAGTAATTACGGAGGCTGCACACTCCGCGATTATGCATGGTGAGCGCGCTCAAGGAAGCCACGCCCACTTACGTACACCACGTACAGCCTCATTACCGACGATCTCGGATGATGCATCCTATGGGACGTTATGGTAGTGCGGACTTTTCTATCCAGGGCATTAAGTTCGGTCTGAGTCCACCTGAGTATGCCAAATATATACATGAGGACAGGCATGACCCAGCCGTTATATGCGTGTGCCTTATTCACACTGGACAAAAGGCTGTTAAGCACTTTGGTCAAGCGTGCATAAAACGTGTCGCAAACTGACTGTTTCATACCAGCCTCATCGATACCGATGTTCTGTGACATACCCAGGTATCGGTATGTTTCAGCCTCGGAAAGGGTCCTTAAGTTGACGGGCATAGATAAGTCTATGCCCTCTGAGTTAGCAACCCTACCCCTCTCAACATGGAGGACCGCACACTTATCCGACCCCAGCTCCATTCCAATAGAATTGCTAAATTCACAAGTGATGTTTAGCAATTCCATAACATAGGAGCGACTGGAGGCGAATAATTTGAGGTCATCCATATAGAAAAGGTGGGTCACTTTTTGTACCTCCTTTCCGAAGCTGAAATACCCTCCCGGAACCCTCCAGTAACTTATTATTATTATTATTACAGAATATTTTCTTAAATATTGTGTACTTACAAGCTAGACAAATGAAACAGTACGTCTGATATCGCCAAACACCATTTAACCCGTTAACAAATTTCTATTTTAGTCGGCCATTTTGTGCGAGTCGTGAGCTCTTCGGAAGCTGGCTCTGGTAGCTTGAGTCATTTGTAAGGCTTGTTCTTGCACGAACCCCATCTGCTTCCGCACCCACTTCTTAACCTGAGCCGTCCCGTAACGGCAGAAGAAATACAGGATCATAACGGTTATCGAGAAAATCGCAACAGCCCAACCAATATATGATCGCACTATTGTCTCTTTCATCGCTGCTTCAGACTGTGCGATAACTGCATCATCCTTGTTGTCAGTGTTACCCATTATTTAAAATTAAAATAATAGTTTTTTTATTCGGAGAATGAACGTATTTACTACACGAAACTCAGCGCCGATAAGAATTAATTAATATTTATATATAATATTCATTGAGTCGACTTATGTAAATTATAAATTGAAACGTACGGGCTTCCTTGAAATACGGCCGCTACGAGTGGTGTAGTTGAGCGGGCGATCAACTTTATCCGCTCCGCTTATGTTAATGTTGCGCGCCTTAGTTGACATCGTACGCGTATTTATTTGAATATTCTGGATGTTTCGGTGCTAATGTGTATTTATAGGCGCTGCAAGATGCGATAGGGGAAGTATTGAATTTGGCGAAGCTTCGGAGCGAAATAAAGTGAATCAGTGTAGTTAATTATTAGTGTTCTAAGTTTTAATTAGTGTAAAGTGAATTAAAGAGTTAATTTTGGTAATTCAATCGGCAGTTTTTATTGTCACGAACCTCAAGATCGTAACAATTTGTGTAAGAAGTGGGATAAAATCATGCCGATTTTACCTAAGGAGGGAATGGAGGGTGTCAGTACTCGAAGTCAACGCCAGCAGAAGAAGGACCAAAGAAGATTTGGTGGTGCAACGCCGCAGACGTCGGAGGGCCAGCCACCTGCTGCAGGCCCGTCAGTAGCTCCTACATCTGCAGCACCTGACTTAGGTGCTCTGATGGTGATGCTGCATGAGCAGGCTCGCCGACAGTAGGAGCAGGCACGTTGGTTGAAAGAGCAGCAGGAGGAACAGGCTCGCCGACAGGAGGAGCAGGCCCGTTGGTAGAAAGAGCAGCAGGAGGAAGATAGGAAGAGCAGATGCTCCTCATGAAGGACATTCACGCTACCTTCGGGAAAGAGATAAGGGAGGTGAAGGATAAGGTTGCTCAACATGACAACCGCCTGTCGGAAGCTGAAACCCGAATCGACCAAGTGAACAATCGGGTTGACAACGTAATGGCTGACATGAAGAAGTCATTGGACAAACTCAAACTTGGGGATGGAACTACAGCTCCCGTAGTAGCTACTGCACATTCGCTACGTGGGTTCAAGGTGCCACGGTTCGACGGAACTTCTTCCTGGTCACCCTACAAAATCCAGTTCGAGGCTGTTATGAAGGCGAACGGCTGGAATAAAAGTCAGGCCGTGACTGCTCTCACACTAGGCCTTCTTGACAATGCATCTCCGTTTCCATGAGATTTCCCGCTGCGATGTTCGATCTCAAAGTCGTATTCCTGCAGTAGTTCAATCCACCTCGCAACTTGTCCTTCAGGTATTTTGAACTGCAATAGCCATGTTATTGCAGCATAGTCAGTTCGTAAGTGAAATTTTCGCCCCAGAGGATATTTGCTAAAATGCTTCAACGACTTTACCACAGCTAGCAATTCGCGTCCTGTGACACAATAGTTCCTTTCCGGTTTTGACAACGACTTGCTGAAATACGCTATCACGACCTCTTGATCACCATTCCGTTGAGATAAGATCTTGTCCTGAAGATTGCAGACATTGTACTAGGCAAGAGAGTAAGGAAGTGGTTATCCGTGAGGATGCTGAGGGCAGACCACCTCAGAAACGAGTGGAAGAACAGCTTACAACGTGCACAGCAGGAAGATCCGGACATCAAGCCGATTCTGGAATGGATGAAGGCCAGCGCTCCCAAGCCCAAGTGGAGCGACGTCTCAGCGATGAGTTCGACCACTAAAAGCTATTGGGCCCAGTGGGACAGCTTGCTGCTTCAGGATGGAGTTCTGTGCCGTAAATGGGGAAATGTTCGGGGATACAGCTGTCATTTGCAAATGGTTGTCCCTAAAGCTAAAGTAACGGATGTTCTACAGCTGTACCATAATAATTGTTCAGGAGGCCATCTGGGAGTTAAACGAACTCCACTGAAGATCCGAGAACGGTTTTACTGGGTTCAATGTCGAAACGACTTCGAGGACTGGTGCCGCAAAAGCCCGTCTTGGACATCGTAGTACCTAAATAAGTCCTGTTGCTGGACAGAAATTCGACGACCTCTTTCAAATATCTATCCGTGCCCTTATATTCGTTCCGCAATCAGACCGAATCAGGTCCGGCAAACCATGACGCGATACGGAGCGGCCCAGCGTGGCCACAAAGCTTCAGTGCTGAGGGCACTAACAAGTTCTAAGTGAACGGCCTTAGTGGCGCGGCACACGAAAACGCACAGATAAGCCTTATGTGAACGCGCGTTACGAAGGTTGGAGGACTTGACGAGGAAGGGGCCAGCAAAGTTGGTTCCGACTCCAGCTAATGTTCGGATGGCCCTGATGCGGTCGGGTGGTAAGTCACCCATCATCGGCTGCGATATGGTGGCCTTCAATTTAAAACAAGGTATGCACTTAAAGATGACGCTCCGAATGGTGCGTCGGCCAGCCAAAATCCAAAACTCCCGCTGCAAAATAGCCGAAAGAGCGTTACACCCCGCGTGGGCATTCTGAAAATTGTAGTGAGTTACCAGTAACCCAACAAAGACACCGTCCTTAGGGAGCAGTAATGCATGTCGAGCAGTTGAGAATTTTTCAAACGTCCGCCAACGCGCAGCATCCCAGCGTCGTCCAGGAAGAGGTTCAGGCGGGCCAGAGCGCCCTTGACAACGGAACTCTGCCTCAAGGTGTCACGGGCACAAAATGCTCCGCTTGGACCATATGGGTCCAATATATCAAGATTTCGCGACGCTTGCTAGGGGACAAAACGGAATCAGAGATTCGGTTGGACGGGTCTCTCGAATTGCGGACAAATCGACGCAACCAAGCAAACACTCCTAAGAGCTTATCAAGAGAGCTGTACCGTTCAAGCAGGGAGAAATCACGAGTAGGCTTATCCTTGTCCACTCCTATTCGGGCTCGTAGGACAGACAATTCAATCGGTTCGGAGTATTTATTCTGGGGCCAGAATGACTGAGACTCAGTCAACCAACTGGGACCCCACCACAGTGGGTGGTCAACCAAAGAGGGAGCTTCACAGCCGCGAGAAGCGCAGTCTGTGGGATTCAACTCCCCCTGGGACATGTCTCCAGCTTAGAGACCTGCCAGAACTCTGGATTTGAGATACGCGGTTCGCCGAAAAGACCTCAAGATTGTGAGGTGCAGCTCTGAGCCAACAAAGTACTATCTCACTGTCCGACCAAGCATAGACGTCCGTAATGTCGATTACAGACTTCAAAGACGAGTGAACGTGGTTTAAAGAGTCGCGTGAGAAGAGCGGCTCCGGACAGTTCCAATTTAGGGATAGTTAAGCGGGACTTAATGGCAGCAACCTAGTAGTAGCTTTTAGCAAGTACGAGATGGACGGAAGTATGGCCAGAAGAGCTCACAGTCCGCAAATATACGACAGCAGCATAGCCTTTCTCACAGGCGTCGCAAAATCCATGAAGGGTAGCACTGCATTTCCCAGGAGGAAGAAAGCACCTTGGCATGGAGACCCGGTTGATGTCCGGAAGGGAGGACACAATGGAGAGCCACTCTCTCAAGAGAGCACCGCTTATAGGGTCGTCCCAACCCAACCCGGAAATCCAGAGCTTATGAAGAAAGCACTTAGCCAAAAAAATTACCGGAGTGATCAATCCATTATGATCGAAGGTGCGGGCTACAGTCGACAGCACGGAACGCTTGGTCCATGATTTAGGAGGGGGATCGAGTTTGACTCGATACTTGAAAGTATCGAGTAAAACTCGAGTAACCGGCTGATATTGAATACCCAGCACAGTCAACAAATTAGGATTTTCATGGTGCACGAATAGATGAGGGTCTTGTTGATCCTCTCCTGAGAGGTCCTTCAAAATACGAGGGGAGTTCGACAATCATTTGCGCAACTCATAATCTCCGGATTTCAGGATGGCAATCAATTCGTCTCGCAATACAAGAGCCTCCTCGACGGTGAAGGCGCCCGTGCAAATGTCGTCCATGTAGAACGAAGTATCCAAAATAAAAGCCCCCGAGTGTATCTCAGACGCTCTCTCTCAGCGAGTTCGAGGATGGTTCGCATGGCGATATACGGACTGGACCGGTGTCCATAGGTGGTGGTGTTCAACTCAAACACCTGTATCGGATCGCTGGGCTTCTCACGCCACAATATGAGCTGATATCAACGGTCAACACGGTGGACCACTGATTGTCGATACATCATCCGAATGTCGGCTACAAAACCACTTGATGCCGACGGTAGTGGATCAAAATGTCGGATACGTCCTTGATCAATTTAGGACCAGATTGGAGACACTGGTTCAGGGACACACCATTTGACGAGGGGGGGGGTGTAAAAAACTAACCGAATCTGACTACCAGGGGTCCTCAAGACCGCATGGTGAGGGAGGAAGTAGTGCTCCTGTGACCGCCAGTCGAAGTTGGACGGTGACATGTGACCCAGCTCTTGATACTCGCGCATGAACTCGACATATTTGTCCCGAAAGGCTGAGTCGCGTACCAGAACTATACCGACCGTCGACACGACGGCCGATATTGTTCTGGTAGAACAACTCACACTCACGGTCCAGAGGATTGACTCGAGGCGCGTGTGGTGGCTCCTTAATTTCCCAGAACCGCTAGATGACGTCCGAAAAGGACACGCCCACCACAGAGAGCGGGTCAGCCATCTGAGAAGGGGGAGACCACAGAACCGGTCCAAAGAAACTGTGCCCAAATACACAGGCTGACAAGCCATCGGGCTTTAGAGCTCGTATCTCGCCTAACAGGATGAACCCCAGCACGTCGGCCCCCAGCAACTAATAATTAGGCCCAGGTCGGGACCATTGAGGGTCTGCCGGTCTAAAACCCGACGTACAACGAACAGCGTTGTCATTTATACGTTAGGGAGAAATAATGAAAGCAATGAAAAGCATGAAAGCAGGTAAGGTTGCCGGTTATGATAGAGTTTCACTTTAAATGCTAAGGGCTGAAGAGGAAGTGGTGGCAGGACTGCTGCACACCTTGTTTAATGTATGTTGGGAACTGAAGCGGGTACCGGGAGACTGGTGCAAAGCCGTGA